CCCCCCCATTGTTGCTCCCGTTCTCCCCTCCCGCAGCCTCTGCTGACCTTTCTCACAGGGGTGGCGTGGCTACTGCTCCAAGCCACCAGGGACGCACTGCCTCCCTCCCGCCTCGCCCGTGGTGGGCATAAATTGCCTCGCCATCCGGGTTGGAGTCCCTGGCCCGCAGCTCACCTGGGCAGCCATAGTGGCACCCCGCAAGAAGCGCCAGGCCAAGCCCCGTCTGGGCTGGGGCTAGCTTCACCTTGAGCCCAGCCATGTAAAGCAGGGGGAGAAGAAGCGATCGATCAAGGGGAGGGGGCCAGGGGGAGGGAGGTGGAGATGAGGATTGGGGGAGGGGCCTGCAAAAACCATGGGGAGGCAGGCCCCATGGGCCCCGCGGTAGCTATGGGAAGGTCACCCAGCAAGTTTCCATGGCACAAGTGGAGATTCAAACCTGGGTCTCCTAGGTACTAGTCTGACACTCTTAACCACTGGCTTCAGACAGATTGTGCTTCATATTATATAAGAAGAGTTGGTTTTTATACCTGGCTCTTCACTACCCCAAAGGAGTCTCAGAGCGGCTTACAATCTCCTTCCCTTCCCACAACAGACACCCTGTAAGGTAGGTGGGGCTGAGAGAGCTCTGAGAGAACTGTGACTGACCCAAGGTCACCCAGCTGGTATTTAGTATTCTTCCTCTGCTCCTCGGGTCTGCCTTTGCCTCTCCTCATAACCCAGGCACTCCCTGCCTACACGTTCCCCATACACTTCCAAATATGTACTCAGACACACATTATCTTTCAAGTAAGGCTGCTGCATCCGTCTATAAATCCTAGTGATTTCACCAGGGGAGAAATGGTGTTTAACTTGCTCCATTCCATTTCTACGCAACAACTTTCCTTTTTGATACATATCAGAAAGGGAGAGTCATAAGATGTGTCTATGAGAATATTTATGAATGAAGTTCCCAAAGGATCACATAATGAATTCTCTTCCAGTAGGAAGGACTGTTGCTTGCAGTTGGGAAGGCCAACCATCCAAAGAGAAGGCAATACAAATTTTAGAATGGAACTACAAATGAGATGCAGTACAATAATTATATTTTAAAAAATCCCTCCGGTCTTGGAGATATTTGCAAATTATTTCAGTGATTTGGATTGTTGTTCCACCAGGAACCCTGTTCCCTACTGAGCACCCTACCTGGGCAGCACATGGAGAATGCAGATATACCTTTCACTGCCTGCTGTTTGTTACGAGGTGTGCCAGACTAATATTCATGTGGAAAAAGGAAAACATGGAGGTGACTGTAAATGTCATTGTCTTCCTTACTAACACCTTCTGTAAGAATGCCGCATCACTGCAGCCATTTTGCCCCTCCCCTCCCCATGATCCCCTGCAGCAGGACACCTCTGTCAAGGAACAGAGGAACTCTTCTCTCTCTTCTCCCCGTCCCATTAAACAGACACGAGACACAGAATTCCTCAGTCATTCAGTAGCCTGAATGTAGACAGGGACGGCCAGCATTGTGCATGGGCTCTCCGTGCCAGACTGCAACTCAGCCAGGGCAAGGTTGGACGGCATGCCATTGCGCTGGTTGGGGGTGCCAAGATCTGGCTCTGCTGCTGCTGCTGTTCTGCCAACCACAATGGACAGGACTGTGTCAGACTCTGGAAACTGTTCTTTATTGGGGGGCCCTTTCTGAAGGGTCTCTCCGCCTGGACCATCTTTCAGTTCTGTCAAGGCCAACTGAGCAGAAAGAGGAAGTCCCACTTTCCGCCCACGAGTCCCCCACTTCTTCTGGGATTTTCTGATTGGGAGGTCTTTGTCCTTGGGCAAAGTCAGCCGACATTTATGGTCCTTCATGTACTTCTGGCGTGTAAAGCCTTTGCTGCAGGTAGGGCAGCGGTACTTGTAGTTGCCAGTGTGGGAGCGCTGATGTTCCACCATATGGGCTCGCCGGCTGAAGGCCTTGTTACAGTATTGGCACTTGTGAATCTTCATGCCTAAAGAAGAGCACAGCAAACAAGCTTTATTATATAAAAGGCTCACTGAGAGCAGTTATGGGGCCCAATGTTATGAGTCTGGAGTAGGGCTGCCAAGTGGGGGCGGGTGGCGGGTAAACCCCCGCTTTGGAGGCCCGATTTCCACCGCCGTGGAATTGGGCCCCAGGGGGAACTCCGCCCCCCGGTGACGCAACCACGTTAATCACGTTGGGGGCATGGCCCCGATCGTCGGAGGGAAAACTCTATGGTTTTCCCTCCGACGATCGGGGCCACGCCCTCAACGTGATCGACGTCGCGCGTCACGACGAGGGACGGCTCCCAGAGCGCAGCGAGGCTCCCCCGCCGGTGAGTAAACTTGGCAACCCTAGTCTGGAGCAAGGAACTAGTTTTCGGAGCTACAGCTTAGCAAACGACATCATATGGAATCCTTTTCAAGTATAGTAAACCAAGAAGGGTTGAGAAGCAGATCAGGTCTTTTCCAGAAACATATGCAATCCATGTAAAACAGCTGTCTTTTAATAGATACACAAATTGTTTGTAGGTGGAAAGCTATACAGAACCAAATGTGTTTCGACTGAACAGGTTTTTTCTGTGGTCTATAAGGATAACTCTAAGGACATCATGGGTTGTGTATTTTTGGAAAGAATTCATCCAATCTTTGTGACTCCTAAAAATGCAGGACTTCAATGAAAGGCAGCAGGTTTCTTAAGGCTACTTAGGCTGCGGTCACACACACTAAATAATCCACTTTCAATCCACTTTCCAATTGGATTTTGCCAGTTCACACAGTAAAAATCCAGTTTGAAAGTGGATTATTTAAGTGTGTGTGACTGCGGCCCTACAGTGCTATCCTGAACACAGTAATACCATTCTAAGCTCATTGACTTCAGTGGATGTAGACAGGTGTAATTCTCCTTTAGACAGCAGCACTGCTGGTGTATTCTTGGCAGAACTGAGGTTTGAACCAGAGACTTCATATTCATAGAGGAGCAAGATTCAAGTCCAGCAGGGGTCATTTCGTAAAAAAAGAGCTAGGGGAACTCATTAGCATAACTCATTAGCCTATGCCACACCCCCTGACATCACCGGAAGTGTGTCATAAGGCCACACCCCCTGACATCACCGGAAGTGTGTCATAAGGCCACACACCCTGACATCACCGGAAGTGTGTCATAAGGCCACACACTGCCTCCTCCTGGCTGAATGAGGGCCGGAAGCGGGGCGGCCGGAAGTGGGGGGCGGGGCTTCGTCATGTGCCCCGGCCCCCGGTACCTCACCCGGGGGAACTGCATTCCCCCGCGTTCCCCCCCCCGAAATGACCTCTGAGGTCCAGTAGCACCTTAAAGACCAACAAGATTTCCAAGGTATAAGCTTTTGAGAGTCAAAGCTCCCTTTGTTAGACATCAGGACTTGAATCTTATTCTTCTACTGAAGACCAACACTGCTTCCCACCTGAAACTATCTTCCTACTCATAGCCATCATTCTCCATCAACTCTTACACAACCATCTTCCAGCCTCCTACCCAGTGTTCCCTCTAAGCTAGCTCACAGTTTTTTAGCCTCCGGCTCACACATTTTTGTCTTAACTCAGGAAAGATGGCTCCAGAACTAATTTATGCCATAGCCAAATCACTCACTCACAACTTTAATGCCAGTAGCTCACAAAGTAGAATTTTTGCTCACAAGACTCCACAGCTTAGAGGGAGCATTGCTCCTACCCAATCTGTAGGACACATGCAATAGCTTTTCATGGAGAGTCATGAAAGTTCACTGCTCTGAATCATTCCTAGACAAAAGCATAAGTATTGCAAAAGTGGGAAGTGGTATGATTTACTAAGCTTTTGCCGCCCTTGGCTTCTGTGGATTGACTTTAGGTTAGCAATTCAGTGTTCTAACTATGAGTTATTCAGGTGGGCTATTCAGTCCCACAAGCAGACAGAATGAGATTAATCTTAATCACAGCTCAAAAGGGAAGTAATAAATCCTCATGGCTTAAGCTATATACTGTTTCCCACCTTTGCTGCAATTGAGAAACCAAGAGAATTAATTGTCTTTTGCAGTTCAATAATTAGGTGATCCACTGTTCATTTCCAGCACAGGACAGACCCAAAACCACAAGCTCATTTACCTGAATGGGAGAGAATGTGAGCTTTCAATTTATCTGGCCTGTTGAACTCTTTATTGCAGCCGGTATGATTTCTGCAAAACAGGGGGAAAGTTAGATGTAGCATGGTAACAGTGGCAGAATGATACAGGTAAGAATCTCAGATGTAGTTCCTCTTCCTAATAGCAAGCTGGTGATTGATTGATGGGTGCATCTCCCGATTTAAATGGAAGGACAGTTCTTGAAGGCCTTTTGGCTTCCTTGCCATGGTAAAAAAAATAAAAATGAAAACAGCACAGCAATGCAGATGCCATTTGACTGCCAAGGCAAAGTCTGGGGGGGGGGGTGCCTTCTGCAGAGCTTTTTTAAAAATTGCCCTATTGAAATATAGCAGATAGAATATTGATGAATTGGTTTTACAAAGGGAATAGATACTCGGTTTAATAGCGTATGTTATTGAATACAAAATAAAACAAGGGGGGGAAATGGGAAGCTGTATGCAAATATGATGATATGAGCGAGATATTCGGCTTGCTATTTTAAAATGTATGGCTCTTTTTATGTAACTTGTTAAAAAATAATAATAAACTTTGCCCAATCTGGGCAAGTAAAAAAAAAGGGGAAAAAATTGATTCAAAAAGTGAGCCAAAAGGAGGCACAACTTTATACTTAATTCAATATTTGGAAAAGACACCAGATTTAACTATCCAAACGAAGGAAGATTATCCTCATCCTGTCAACCTATAGCACAACATGCCACATTAATTACCGGAGTGCCTGGGCCACACAGCAAATAACTCAGGCAAGTAAGAAGAGGAGATTGGATTTATACCCCACCCTTCACTACCTGAAGGAGTCTCAGAGCGGCTTACAGTCCCTTTCCCTTCCCCACAGCAGACATCCTGTGAGGTAGGTGGGGCTCAGAGAGCTCTCTTGAAAACCGCCCTTGAGAGAACAGCTCTGAAAGAACTTATAACTGACCCAAGGTCACTCCAGCAGCTGCATGTGGAGAACTGGGGAATCAAACCCAGTTCTCCCAGATTAGAGCCCATGCTCCTAACTACTACACTAAACTGGCCATGTACAGCAGAGGGAGATAAAAAAGAAACCTTGTTGGATGCAAATATAATAGCTGAACAAGAGCAAAGACAGAACTGAAGATACGGGGGAAACTATGTATCTATCATTAAGGACCTGATCTGAAAGTGTCTGTAGAACTGGAAGTCATTACAGACACAACCACTATCATCTGCCTAGTTCGTTCATTTGGAAAGCATTTCTTAATGAACAATGAGGGCAGAAAATATGACCACCCGATTATTCAAAAGCAATAATTGGCACAAAGAGAAAAAGATCCCAGAGCCAATGAAGATTAGAAGACAATTCCTGGTCTCCTGTTTGTACATGTTTCAAAGGCTGCACATTTTTTGGTATCACATAGAGTATTACATTTTATGTACAGAGAAACATACTCTAAAGGCCCTAATGTTAGTGTATCATACAGCAGACCAAGAGGAACCTTGCTTCCCAGAGCATAAGTACTCCCAATGTTATCCGTAAAGTCAGTGCCATTCTTAGCTCCTGTGGGCCACTTGGTACTTACGAGAAGGGACATTTGTATTTCTTGAAAGGCTCATGGATCAGCATGTGTCGTTTGAGTTTATCTTTTCTGTTGAAGGCTGAGTCACATACTGAGCATTTAAAAGGCTTTTCACCTGCACAGGAAAAAGAAATGAGTACAGCAAAGGAGTTACAGGCCGAGCATGCCTTCAAGACTGACAAATATTCTAATAGAGCAACTACTTTCCTTTCCCTAAGCGATAATAAATGATGACGTCCCCCAAGATATCATCTCCTTTGATTCACCACAGTGCTATAGAACAATATGCCCAGTAAGGAGAGAAACTTGGCCACAAGATGGGCTAGCTGTGTCTCACAGTGCAATCCTAAACAAAGTTACACTGTCCTAAGCCTGCTGAAGTCAATGGCATTAGAAGGATGTAAATATTTTTGGGAGTGCACTGTTAGTGGGAAAATACCTACTTTGAATACAGAAAGTCCCAGATCCAGTCCTTGGCATATCCAGTTAAATTATCTCAGGTAGCAGTTTTGGGGAAACACCTTCTCCATCTAAGGCTTTGAAGAGCCCTGTCAGGCTAGACAATGAGGCTAGATGGACAATGATCTGATATAAAGCAACTTTATATTTATTTTAAGGAAAGGGACCATGCTTCAAACTAAAGAGCACCTGCTTCACCCCAAGTTCAGTCCCAGCTTCTCCAGTTAAAATATCAAGAGTGTTTTCTGCATTAGACCCTGAACTGCAGTCCATAGACTATACCAAGCTAGATGAACCAATGGTCTGACTGAGTATATGACAGCTTCGTATGTACTAACATAAAAAAATGAAAGTGCTCCACTCACTGGAAAGGAGCTTTGAGCAAACACCTACCTGAATGAATGTGAGCATGTAGCTTGAGGTAGTGTTCTCGGCGGAAGAACTTCTTGCAGATCTGACACTTAAACTTGCCCCCACCCCCATGTGTAGGGAGGTGCCGTCGCAAATACCTTTCACAGGGGAACACCTGTGGAAAGAAGACAAGAGACAGTTGAGGACAGAATCACCAGGGTGGGACTTGCCCCTGGCTAAGTTGGTACATTTTTCCCAAAGCAGTGCAACACCTATCTAATGTAAATAATAAATGAATAATGTAAAAAACAGACTCAGCTGGATCAGACCATCTACCTACCTTCTGACAATGAGGGCAGGGGAAGTTATGTGTTGCTGTCTGTAAGTGATGCTCCAGGGCTTCTGGGGTGGAATATTTATTTACACACTTGACACATCTGAAGCAGGATGGAAACAAAAAAAGTGTTATTAATCTGAACTGAGGCCTATGACTAGTAGAACCCAATTTTGTATTATCTTCTGTGAAGAACAGTTTCAGAAAGGAAAAGCAGACATACCCATGAGAGCCAGCCTGTCACAGAGGCTAGAGTACTGGTTGGGCTTGGACATGGCAGATTGGAATTCAGTTATCTGCTTGGCCCTGAAGCTCAGTGAGGTGACCTTACACCAATCACTTAAGTTTCAGTGGAACCTACTGGGAGGCAGGAGAGAAGTATGTGTCCCACTTTCGGTTTCTAGAAAAGTTGAGATTAAAATGAAATACATAAATTATCTGTTTCCTCAAATGTTCAGGGTATGCCCTCTTTTCAAACTGGTCAGCTAAAGAGCATTTCTTTTAAAGGAAAGGAAATACTGAAAGTGGACTGTAGTGGAGCAGAAGAAAATTGGAACCCCCCAAATTTGTCATTGATACCAGAGAACCCCTACACATGAGTAAAGCCTGACTGTGTTTTATAAATAGCCTAGACCCCTTCAAAATCTGAAGCCAACATTTTATCATCAAAATATTAAGAACATAAGAGAAGCCAATGTTGGATCAGGCCAATGGCCCATCCAGTCCAACACTCTGTCACACAGTGGCCAAAAATACCAGGTGCCATCAGGAGGTCCAGCAGTGGGGCCAGAACACTAGGAGCCCTCGCACTGTTGCACCCCCCCCAAGCACCAAGAATACAGAGCATCACTTGCCCCAGAGTCCCTATCTATACCTTGTGGCTAATAGCCACTGATGGATGTCTGCTCCATATGTTTATCTAATTCCCTCTTGAAGCCATCCATACTTGTAGCCGCCACCACCTCCTGTGACAGTGAATTCCATGTGTTAATCACTCTTTGGGTGAAGAAGTATCTGTTCTAACCCGACTGCTCAGCAATTTCATTGAGTGCCCACGAGTTCTTGTATTGTGAGAAAGGGAGAAAAGTACTTCTTTCTCTACCTGCTCTATCCCATGCATAATCTTAGAAACCTCGATCATGTCACCCCTCAGCCGTCGTTTCTCCAAGCTAAAGCGACCCAAACGCTTTAACCTTTCTTCATAGGGAAAGTGTTCCAACCCTTTTATCAGTCTAGTTGCCCTTTTCTGCACTTTTTCCAATGCTATAATATCTTTTCTGAAGTGTGGTGACCAGAACTGCACACAGTATTCCAAATGAGGTCGCACCATTGATTTATACAGGGACATTATGATACTGGCTGATTTGTTTTCAATTCCCTTCCTAATAATCCCCAGCATAGTGTTGGCCTTTTTATCGTGGTTGCACACAGTCTCGACATTTTCAGTGAGTTATCTACTACGACTCCAAGATCTCTCTCTCGGTCATTCACCAACCTGTGATAAAAGTGACCAATATCTAGCTACCTAAACTGTTCAATCAGAAAACAGTTTCTAAGGAGGATGAAAACAAACAAACAGCACCACTTGTTTTCTTAACTGCATTGTTAACATGAGCCTTCATGAATTTAACAAGCTCAGACTTGAAATCACAAGGGATGGCTCTCTCCAAACACAGAATGGAAAATCGCTGTTTCCCTTGTTGTCATACTTGTAGACAGCCATGTCCTTCTTGGGACTGTGCTGAGGCAGCAGGTTGTGGGAATACTGGTGGACGCCTAGTTCATATAGGGAAGGGAAGTCCTTGCTGCAGAGGTGGCAGCGGTAGCTCAGCTCTTCCTGGTGATTCTTGATATGCTCAAGGAAAGAGTCCAGCTTCTGGAATGTCTGCGCACAACTTTTCACGACACATTTGTAAACCTGAATGTGAAAGGGAACAGAAGAGAAGTAATCATTCGAAACCAGTGCTGTGGAAGAATCACTATTGTTCTGAGGTAAATAAGTTAATCAATAAGCAAATGCTCCTATCAGCTCCAAACATGCAGCCTCAGAGTGCCCATTCAGTTGCCAATCCAAGGGAGTACCCTCAGGGAGTACATTGGGCACCATCTTTACAACCCTTTCAGAATAGGCTAAAGACATTTTACTCCAGAAGGCTTCTGAATGAATTAACAGAAGTGGTGGTGGTTGTTTTCATGGGGTAATTTGGTTATGCTTTATGATATTTTAATAGCTACGCCGTCTGCATTCGATCTTTTGTAAGTGCCTCAAGGAGGCAGCAAAGCAACATACTAATTAAGTGAGGAGACTGCCTGTACATCTGCATGAGCTAGATTCAAGTCCTGTAGTGCCCTAGGGAACAACAAGAAAGCCTTTGTCAAAGCCTTAACTCTCAAAAGCCTATACTCTGCATATCTTGCTGGTCTCTAAGGCCACATATTTTAATACTGGGTTTTTAAAATATTTATAATTTTATAATTGCTATTTTTTAAATAACCATGTCATTGCATGAGTCATTACTTTAGATATGCATCCATCCAGTCAAAGACATTTACAGAACAGTCTCTCTCACAGATACACAGTGGGTGGACTCATTTGTGAGCTGACAGTTCTTACTTTTACACATAGTGAAATAAAGCTGTTCAGGTGTACAAGTGTACATACCTCCCAGTTTAGCTCAGAGAAGTTTTGGAAACTGGATTAGACCTTGGTGGATTTGGTTTGGGTATACTATGCTGTTTCACTCCAGAACCTTAAAGAAGAGTCAGCATGTGCTTTACCAATGAATGAAGCACATTCTAGAGCACATCATTCAGTCTTTGTCAGTGGCCACACCTCAGTAATAAGCTTGGCACACACAGCATCTCAGTGTCCATCTCTGGGATCTCCTGTTAAAGGATGCCAGAGAGATGCTGGAGGTCATGGAGGAAAGAACTAGGTAGTCTTATCATTGGTCTGACTCAGCACAGGCACAGTTCTGTTCCCTATACTCTGCTGTGAGAAATCAAAATCCTGAACAAAAGTAGCCTAGATTTTGCAGCAAGAAAACAACATGACCCACTTCAATTGTGCATATACATATAATCAGTTTATTGTGCAGAATTTATTCTACTTCTGTTAAATCATGAAGGGAGGTGAAGAGCTAAGCAGAACAAAGGCAGCTGACTTGGCACCCACCTGCTCATGTTTATGCTGAGTCATGTGTGATTTCAGCTGGAAGTAGGTACTGAATTTGTTGGGGCAGAACTGGCACTGATATGAGCTGTCAATCAAGACTACTTGTTTGGCTTCCGGCTTGCTGGCTTCATTCTCTTCTGCAGGAGGCATGGCCTGAGGCTGGGGTGGACTGTTTCTAGCTGCTGGATTTAAGCCTGGAGGAAAATAAATGTTAGAATCTCAGTTTGGAAAGTTTCCCAGACAGAGTGGTTTTTAGCATAAATGACCAGTCAAAACCAACCTTGTATGTATGATCCTAGAAGTCATTTAAAATCACAGCCTGCTGACTCTGCCTCCAAAATGCAAAACTAGGGAGATTATTTTCCTTACTTTGCATTTCATATTTTAAATCTGGGTTATCATTGAGAAATTAGGCCTCTGTTTTGAAAGTTTTAAAGTAGAGATATGCTTTGTGTAAAAGACCTAGTTCTCGCTGAGGTTAATAAACCTGTACCTGACTCCATGCTTTGGCAGTTCACATGATTATATTACTTCCATATAAAAACTCACTCTGCTGGAAAAATAGGTGTCAGGATGAAAGACTGTAATTTAACCTTCTTCTCAACATCTATATTTCTGTGTACACATATTTTTTACTGTGTGTTAAGGTATATTTAGTCACAGGAATTCCACCTGCAGTCTGAAGTGGTACAGCCCAGGGGTACAGCTTTACAATTTTTGTGAGAATGACACCAAAATCTTCCTTGCATTTATGACCTTAGGAAGGAACAACAGTGCCTAATGAAGACAACATTAAGACTATGGCAACACCTAATATTATTCTCTGATCCCATTTAAGCTCCGTGTGATCAGTACTCACTGAGTTCATCCAGCATTTTCTGAGTTCTTTGTTTTCTCCAGTCTAATTTGGCACAGACCCCGCTTAACTTCTAATTGGCTCCTGAACTAATGAAATGGACATGTCCTCCTCATCCTGTTTTTAGGTGAGGAGTATTTGATATGTATAGCCCAGGAAAAGAGCTTGGCCAGACAAGCAGGCTCAGACCAAACTAGACATTTGCTCTTTTTAAGAGCTGGGTCTGGGCTCCCTGGACCTAACTCAGGTTCTCTGCAGCCATACAGCAGCTGTGTGGAATGGCTATTTAAAAAATAAAATAAAGCAAAGCTTGTTTGGATTTGGACCGCTCTCACAGGGGAGGATGAGCTATTTCCACACCAGAGCAGTGTTTTGGGGGTGGGTGGGGAGTTATTTCCCCATTTTTCTGTTCCAGCTCCAGAAGCTGAATGCACCTCTTTTAAAAAAGTGACCATCTAGGTTGGCTCACATTATCCTCAGGAGTTTGAAACATGCAAAAGTGCCAAATAGAACTGGCTGGTAATGTAAGGCAAGATGGGCAACCAGTTGGTACGCACTTGTGGTTCCTTAAGATCAGCTGTGGCTACACATGAGAATAACAGGAAGCCAGCTACATCACACTTAATGGTGCTTTCAGACTGCCTCTTTAACCCGGTTTGGTTTCTGAAGCCAAAAAGGTTTTTGCCCCATTTCAGACACCACTAGACAGAAATTAACTCTCCAAAGCTCCTTGTTCTGGGAGGAAGCAGTACAGCTCAGAGGTTTGGGGAGCAAGTCATCAGCCAACTGGCCATCTCACTAGTAAGAAAGGCACCTGCATTTTCCTCATCCTCCTGCTGGTTGGGGTTGAGTGCCATGACTTGCACAGTGACAGAGCTCCGTGAGATGGTACACCCAATTCCCGGTGGCCACACCTTATGCGTCTGCATGTGCTTCTTTACATTGGACTTTTGCGCAAAGGCACGGCCACATACGATGCACTGGAATGGTTTCTCCCCTGTGTGACTGAAAAAACAACAGGATAACACATCAGAGGATGGAAGACAGATTCATTCCACCAGGAAGCAACCTCACAGCTGGACATTATTAGAGGATAATCACCTTTTCACCTGCCTGACTGCCTGTCAGGAAAGGTCATCTTCTGAGGCCTTGTTATGTCTGATGACCCATCACTGGGGAAGTGGACGAACATCAGGGACAGTTCATTTCGTTTTGGCACCAGTGTGATGAATGGGGCAGTGTAATGGCTATTGTCAGACCAGGACCATGGAGATCTGGGTTCAAATTATCACCTTTGGCTGGTCACTCAGCCTAACCCACCTCACAGGTTTGTTATGAGGATAAAATGAGAGAGTACAGAACCATATACCATCCTGAGCACCTTGGAGAAAGGACAGGAGAAAAATGTAATATGATAGTTTAGCAGACCTGGCTACATTCTTAAATGTTGTTCAGTATGGGTCAGGAAACAGTAGTGGTGGTGGAGGAGGAGAACTGGTTTTATACCCCGCCTTTCACTATCCAAAGGAGTCTTGGAGCAGCTTGCAATCATCTTACTTTCCTCTCCCCATAACAGACACCCTGTGATGTAGGTGTGGCTGAGAGAGTTCTGAGAGAACTGTGACTGACCCAAGGTCACCCAGCTGGCTTCATGTGGAGGGGTGGGGAATCAAACGTGGTTCTCCAGATTACAGCCTGCTGCACTTAACCACTACACCAAGCTGGCTGGGCATCAAGTACAGTTCCTTTTCTGTTTTGGCACAATCATAGAATTATAGAGTTGGAAGGACCTCCAGGGTCAGTCCAACCCCCTGCACAATGCAGGAAATTTACAAATGCCACCCCCCACATCCCCAGTGACCCCTGCTGTATGCCCAGAAGAGGGGGGGAAACCTCCAGGATCCCTGGCCAAATTAGCCTGGAGAAAAATTGCTTCCTGACCCCAAAATGGCAATCAGCATTTCCCTGGGTGTGTAAGAAAGGGCCATGAGAATTAAGCACTGATGCAACCCTTCCTGCCCTCCCTCTCATGATCTGTTGTCCTATATCCCACATCCTGCAAGGGAATCCAAATTTCTGTTTTGTGGCAAGGAATTCATTTCCCCAGAGTCTTCAAGCTGCAAAAATTGTTGCTTGTGGAAAGATGCAAACCCAATCCCTAACTAGGATGTCAAGAGCATCATTCAGTGCCTATGATACTCATGGAGTATCATTACAAAATAGTTATAGCTCTGCTATTAGCTCAACTACTATTTTCTGAGACAGCTGCAAATGTCATAGGAACTGAATGGTATTCTTAACATCACTAGTGATAAGCAATACAAGACACTCTCCTTCCTTTCCCCTTCCAGTGGGGTGGACTGTTTCTAGCTGCTGGATTTAAGCCTGGAGGAAAATAAATGTTAGAATCTCAGTTTGGAAAGTTTCCCAGACAGAGTGGTTTTTAGCATAAATGACCAGTCAAAACCAACCTTGTATGTATGATCCTAGAAGTCATTTAAAATCACAGCCTGCTGACTCTGCCTCCAAAATGCAAAACTAGGGAGATTATTTTCCTTACTTTGCATTTCATATTTTAAATCTGGGTTATCATTGAGAAATTAGGCCTCTGTTTTGAAAGTTTTAAAGTAGAGATATGCTTTGTGTAAAAGACCTAGTTCTCGCTGAGGTTAATAAACCTGTACCTGACTCCATGCTTTGGCAGTTCACATGATTATATTACTTCCATATAAAAACTCACTCTGCTGGAAAAATAGGTGTCAGGATGAAAGACTGTAATTTAACCTTCTTCTCAACATCTATATTTCTGTGTACACATATTTTTTACTGTGTGTTAAGGTATATTTAGTCACAGGAATTCCACCTGCAGTCTGAAGTGGTACAGCCCAGGGGTACAGCTTTACAATTTTTGTGAGAATGACACCAAAATCTTCCTTGCATTTATGACCTTAGGAAGGAACAACAGTGCCTAATGAAGACAACATTAAGACTATGGCAACACCTAATATTATTCTCTGATCCCATTTAAGCTCCGTGTGATCAGTACTCACTGAGTTCATCCAGCATTTTCTGAGTTCTTTGTTTTCTCCAGTCTAATTTGGCACAGACCCCGCTTAACTTCTAATTGGCTCCTGAACTAATGAAATGGACATGTCCTCCTCATCCTGTTTTTAGGTGAGGAGTATTTGATATGTATAGCCCAGGAAAAGAGCTTGGCCAGACAAGCAGGCTCAGACCAAACTAGACATTTGCTCTTTTTAAGAGCTGGGTCTGGGCTCCCTGGACCTAACTCAGGTTCTCTGCAGCCATACAGCAGCTGTGTGGAATGGCTATTTAAAAAATAAAATAAAGCAAAGCTTGTTTGGATTTGGACCGCTCTCACAGGGGAGGATGAGCTATTTCCACACCAGAGCAGTGTTTTGGGGGTGGGTGGGGAGTTATTTCCCCATTTTTCTGTTCCAGCTCCAGAAGCTGAATGCACCTCTTTTAAAAAAGTGACCATCTAGGTTGGCTCACATTATCCTCAGGAGTTTGAAACATGCAAAAGTGCCAAATAGAACTGGCTGGTAATGTAAGGCAAGATGGGCAACCAGTTGGTACGCACTTGTGGTTCCTTAAGATCAGCTGTGGCTACACATGAGAATAACAGGAAGCCAGCTACATCACACTTAATGGTGCTTTCAGACTGCCTCTTTAACCCGGTTTGGTTTCTGAAGCCAAAAAGGTTTTTGCCCCATTTCAGACACCACTAGACAGAAATTAACTCTCCAAAGCTCCTTGTTCTGGGAGGAAGCAGTACAGCTCAGAGGTTTGGGGAGCAAGTCATCAGCCAACTGGCCATCTCACTAGTAAGAAAGGCACCTGCATTTTCCTCATCCTCCTGCTGGTTGGGGTTGAGTGCCATGACTTGCACAGTGACAGAGCTCCGTGAGATGGTACACCCAATTCCCGGTGGCCACACCTTATGCGTCTGCATGTGCTTCTTCACATTGGACTTTTGCGCAAAGGCACGGCCACATACGATGCACTGGAATGGTTTCTCCCCTGTGTGACTGAAAAAACAAGAGGATAACACATCAGAGGATGGAAGACAGATTCATTCCACCAGGAAGCAACCTCACAGCTGGACATTATTAGAGGATAATCACCTTTTCACCTGCCTGACTGCCTGTCAGGAAAGGTCATCTTCTGAGGCCTTGTATGCAGTAAAAACTGAAGAGGGGCATTTTTGCAAGCCAGGATGGAAGACAGATTCATTCCACCAGGAAGCAACCTCACAGCTGGACATTATTAGAGGATAATCACCTTTTCACCTGCCTGACTGCCTGTCAGGAAAGGTCATCTTCTGAGGCCTTGTTATGTCTGATGACCCATCACTGGGGAAGTGGACGAACATCAGGGACAGTTCATTTCGTTTTGGCACCAGTGTGATGAATGGGGCAGTGTAATGGCTATTGTCAGACCAGGACCATGGAGATCTGGGTTCAAATTATCACCTTTGGCTGGTCACTCAGCCTAACCCACCTCACAGGTTTGTTATGAGGATAAAATGAGAGAGTACAGAACCATATACCATCCTGAGCACCTTGGAGAAAGGACAGGAGAAAAATGTAATATGATAGTTTAGCAGACCTGGCTACATTCTTAAATGTTGTTCAGTATGGGTCAGGAAACAGTAGTGGTGGTGGAGGAGGAGAACTGGTTTTATACCCCGCCTTTCACTATCCAAAGGAGTCTTGGAGCAGCTTGCAATCATCTTACTTTCCTCTCCCCATAACAGACACCCTGTGATGTAGGTGTGGCTGAGAGAGTTCTGAGAGAACTGTGACTGACCCAAGGTCACCCAGCTGGCTTCATGTGGAGGGGTGGGGAATCAAACGTGGTTCTCCAGATTACAGCCTGCTGCACTTAACCACTACACCAAGCTGGCTGGGCATCAAGTACAGTTCCTTTTCTGTTTTGGCACAATCATAGAATTATAGAGTTGGAAGGACCTCCAGGGTCAGTCCAACCCCCTGCACAATGCAGGAAATTTACAAATGCCACCCCCCACATCCCCAGTGACCCCTGCTGTATGCCCAGAAGAGGGGGGGAAACCTCCAGGATCCCTGGCCAAATTAGCCTGGAGAAAAATTGCTTCCTGACCCCAAAATGGCAATCAGCATTTCCCTGGGTGTGTAAGAAAGGGCCATGAGAATTAAGCACTGATGCAACCCTTCCTGCCCTCCCTCTCATGATCTGTTGTCCTATATCCCACATCCTGCAAGGGAATCCAAATTTCTGTTTTGTGGCAAGGAATTCATTTCCCCAGAGTCTTCAAGCTGCAAAAATTGTTGCTTGTGGAAAGATGCAAACCCAATCCCTAACTAGGATGTCAAGAGCATCATTCAGTGCCTATGATACTCATGGAGTATCATTACAAAATAGTTATAGCTCTGCTATTAGCTCAACTACTATTTTCTGAGACAGCTGCAAATGTCATAGGAACTGAATGGTATTCTTGACATCACTAGTGATAAGCAATACAAGACACTCTCCTTCCTTTCCCCTTCCAGTACCATCTAGTCCTTTTTTATGTTAGATATTTTTAAACATCTAATAATAGGTTGAGAATAATTGTGGATAAACCAACTTTATACCATGGAATGGACTCTGACTTTTCTGTTTTTATTATCTGTTTTAATTACCTGGTTTTAATAATGTGCTTAAATTAGTGTAATAAGTTATGTTTGCATTGTTTGTATCCTGTTCATCCCCCTTGGATCCTAACTGTGCCAGCAGAAAGCTGGGGTACATAAATATTTTAAATAAATAAATAAATAGATAGTGTCCGATCCTAGTTTGATGGAATCTAGCTATCTATAATTAGCAAAGTGCCCCAAATTTGGAAAATAATGCTATCTATAATTAGTTTAATTAAACCATGGTTTCATATGACACCTGCACTGAGTGAATACAGTGAGTAGAGAGATCAGTGCTGAAAATTTTGGTTAACCCACTGAACTTGCAGAGAGAAGGATTTGGTTTTCAAAGCCTTAGCAAAGGAAGGCACCAACAAAAGTGAAATTATTGCAGGGAGTATTTCCCCCATCAGCGCTTCCTCTGTGTCCAAGTTAGAAGTTCAACATTACCTCCGGATATGTTGCTGCAGGTCAAAGTTCTTTGTGAAGGCCTTATCACAATAAGTACATTTCAGTTTGGGAGACTTAGGCTTTCCTGAAATATACAGAGAGGGAAAGAAGAACAACCTCATGTTAGGTATGCTTCAAGTGTTGATTTCTTACTTTCTGCCATGAGGCAATCATATTTAGGGACAAGGCAAAAAAGGGGATATAAGATAGTATGGGACAGTAGCAAAGCTGGTGTCTTGGGCATAAGGTTTCATGGATTCACCAAAATGCTGCCAATTTAACAGAAGAAGAATTATGGAGCAGAAAGTATTACTAATACTCCACCATTACATGAGCTGCTGCAGTGATTTTCATTTCCGGAACAGGATAGCATGAAGTCCCAGGACAGGCTGGATGTAGCTCCTTGGTTTTCCTTCTGGTAACAGGGTTAATGGCAATGTGGAAAAAAAGCCACGGGCTCACTCCTCTCACACGACCAGGATCCTGTCCCATTACCTTGCTGCATGAGAAGGACTGGGATTGCCTCAGGTCCCATGCTACAGATCACAGCCTTGGTAAATTACAAATAAGGATGTGCATTTGTTACCAAACTGAAAAAGCAAACCAAAGAGCCCCTTTTGCTTCCCTGGTTATGGTAACAAAAGTGAAGGGAAAAGCTATACATGGTTGGGGGGGGGGTTTCATTCATTGTCCCTATTTTCTCCCACACTTACTGCTTGCCCGTCAGCTGAGTGGCTGACAAGGCTTGCTGTGGTAATGGCCAGCCAACCAGTCAAAGGGCAGGTAGGACAAGATTCTCTCTGTCTCACCTCTCTCAGGCACCTTGGATGCGATTTCTGTTGCTTCCAATATATTGTGCTTCAGTGCATCAGTGACTGTTTCCCATGATGCACCAAGGCTGGTTGACCAGCCATTGGCTTGCCTGGCTAGGCAGCATCTCCCCTGCAAGCCTGGTCAGCAGCAGCCACTGTACCCAGCCTTCTACTTGTGGTGATAAGGCAGAAAGAGATGGGGGGGGGGGTCTCTCCAAGTCATCTGAAACAAAATTTCTACATTCCCCATCCCAGTTTTGTTGGAAAACGTGTGAACTCCTGAGAAAGGAACAGCTTACACATCTCCATGTGAGTGTTTTATTTCAGAAGTTAAAGAGAAATGTGAGGAAAGGAAGCGTGATGCATTTAACTTAACAATGAAGCATATGATTTACATATTAAAAACAGATTCTGGAGAACGCAACAAGGCCATTCACAAAGCGTTGTGTTGCCCACCTATGCATGAGACCAGGCAAGGGCTGACAGCAGAGAGCCTTACCTTCTAGCAGGCTGCCGTCTGTTTTGGAACGGCGATTTTTGCAAGCAGAAGTTGAATCAAAATTGGTCACATTTCCACCACATGAATTGTTCAAAGGAGCGGCAGCATTGGAGCTTTTAGAGTTAAAACCTTGTTTGCCTGGACTGTATACTGGAGGTGAGGGGTACACAGGGCTTTCGACACATTGGCTGGGCACCTAAAAGACAGAAGTTATCGCTGAAAACATGCCTGATCTCAATGCTAACATCAACAGGGCAGATGTGAAGCCTTGACCACTGCAGGTCCTGCCAATTCCACCCTATGCTAATGAGCGGTCAAAAGATCATTTATTCATTATTTATTTATTCAATTTGTATCCCGCCCTCCCCACGAACAGGCTTAGGGTGGCTTACATAGTCGGTACAAGGTATCTTGTGTTCTGACAAAGCTTTTGCTAATTTTAAAAATGTGATTACCAGCTCAAAGGTACAAATGACAATGCTAAGAGGAAGGGAGTCAAGCCAACCTTGAATCAAAACCCAAACTTTTCTTGTTTCCTAACTAAATGTATGTGATAAATACATATAACTAAAAGCATATTGCAGATTTTGTATTGTTCCCATTTTGATCCTGATGAGTTGCAGCAGATGCTTAATTTTATAACTTAGGCCCACCACTATCCTCTACCCCACTTTGCAAGGTTCCCATTTCCCCATGTGAGCAGCAACTAAAATGACTCCAGAGGCACTGAACTTGTTCTTAGCTTCGGATCAGCTTGACCTGTAACCCAACCAGAACAACTTCAGCCACAGTAGAACCAGAACCAAATTAAACTATGGATTTGTCCATCTGCATGGCTTTACCTGACCTGGATAGCCCAGGCTAGCCCGATTTCATCAGATCTTGGAACCTAAGCAGGGTCAACCCCGCTTGGATGGGAGACCACCAAAGAAGTCTAGGCTTGCTATGCAGAGGGCAGGCAGTGGCAAACCACCTCTGAATGTCTCTTGAGCTGGAAACCCCCTGGGGTCGCCATAAGTCCGCTGTGACCTGATGGCAAAAACAGGCTTTACTCATGCTTCCCAATGAACAATCTTGCCACAAAATAAATGTGAAAACAGTACAGATATGGTGTGCTCTTTAAGGTGCAAGATCATAAACAGTGCAGAGGAGACACTAGGAAGCCTGCCAAATCTCCCTGTTGGAAGCCTGCATCAATACTCAAACCAGGCTTCCTCTGCTTGGTGTTGTTTTATCACCACTTCAGCTCCATCTCCTGGAAGCTTTCTAAACAAATCCTTGGCCACCCTGCGGAGCAAAGCATTCTAGTACCTGCAGACAGCTGCATGATGTTTCCCCCTTAATCACATTTAGCTCTGCTACATGTGTTTCAGTTCCATAATCTCTCCACATCAATCAATCCCTGTGGCCCGTTAATCGTTTGCATTGTTCTCTCAAATCCCTGCAACTGGCTGACATCTTTCTGATCGCTACTTTGCCCACAGAGGAAATAATCATTGATTGTAAGACAACCTAATGCATCTTGTCATGTCCCTAATTTCTTTGATAAATAGGGGTTTTCAGGGCTGAGTGAATCAGAAGCAGCATTTTCTCACTGCCTGGTTGGTGCCAAAGAAGCCATTAACTCATCAGAAAGAAAGAAAACAGCGGCAGAAGCAGGATTCGATTGGGGAGGGGGATGGAGACTCCAATGCACTTTGCAGCCCCCCATCCATTTTTACCTCCATAGGAGGGTAGGGCTGCATCCCCAGATTCTGCATCTCTACTGTACTATTCCCAGCCATGGGAGCAGGTGTGCTGTACACTTCCACCACTCCACTGCTACCTGCGTTCGTCTGGCCTGGCGCACCAAGAGTTTGAGGGGGAGGAGGGGGAGGCTGAGGTGGTGGTGGCGGCGGCGGAGGTGGTGGCTGAGGGAGATATCCAGTTCCCGTGTGCATACTCAGGCTGCTCTAAAAAGGCAAAAGGAGAAATCAGCAAAGCATTGGAAAGAAAGCATCATGCAAGTCTTGAGCACTCTGCTTTGATGCTGACCTGAAGTAAAAGAACTGCACCTACAAGGTTCCCTCCTCAGTCAACACGGCAAGCTTGTGCCATCCGAAGCAGAGCTACACCCTTCTAAGCCCACTGTTTTCAGTGTTCCATGTGCAGGGCCAGCTAGACAGGCACGAATTAGGAGTCTCAATGCGTGGATAAGATGATGGTATAGGGAGGAAAGGTTTAAGTTAATAAGAACATAAGAGACGCCAATGTTGGATCAGGCCAAAGACCCATCCAGTCCAACACTCTGTGTCACACAGGGGCCAGAAATACCAGTGCCATCGGGAGGTCCACCAGTGGGGCCAGGACATTAGAAGCCCTCCCACAGTTGACCCCCCCCCCAACCACCAAGAAGACAGAGCATCACTTGCCCCAGAGCCCCTATCTATACCTTGTGGCTAATAGCCACTGATGGACCTCTGCTCCATATGCTTATCTAATTCCCTTTTGAAGCCATCCATGCTTGTAGCCGCCACCACTTCCTGTGGCAGCGAATTCCATGTGTTAATCACTCTTTGGGTGAAGAAGTACTTCCTTTTATCCATTCTAACCCGACCACTCAGCAATTTCATTG